GTGCAGAATGCCTTCCTTTCCCTTTCCTGCATCCATGTGTCATGGGATCTATTTTTTCTCTTTGAAAGGGAGTGCAGAGAGATAAGAGGGGGCTGGGTGGTTGAGGGGCCACAGCTACTCCACCTGGAGCTCATTTCTCAGAGGAGCTACTGAACCAAGCAGCTATCCTTCTCCCCTGGCATTGCTGCTGGAGGCAGAACTGAAAGGAAATGAGAGAGCCAGAGGATCCTGACTTCTCAGCCAGGCTCCACAGCTACTCTAGTCCAGTGACACCAGGCCAGTCCCCAGACCATCAGATAATAAAAGCACATTATCAGTACCACTTGCTGGTTTTTGAATGGTTACTGTGAAACAGGCACTATGTGCCTCACATGAACATGGTTTCTACTCATTAAACACTGACAGTGAGCCAAGCATGGCGCTAGCCACTTTATATACATCATATCTGAATAACTTCATTTAGCCCAATCCACCAGCCCTTTCGCAGGTAGCACAGGGTTGGGACAGGCCACAGCTGGACAGCTTGGTCAGTCCCACTGTGAAACCACTTCCTGGGCAGCGCAGAAGAAATGAGCCTCCAGAAATGCCTCAGACACATGGGCCTGTCCCCTGGGCTCTGGCCTTGAAAAGTGGAGAATACCCTGCCTGCTCCCCAAGTCCCAGCAGCCAGCAACTCTACGCACTCCATGCATAAACACTATGAGGCACAGAGGGTCGGTGTGACCCCAACTAGCCTTTGAGCACCCTGGCCCCGTGACCAAACAGCCTACTTCCTCCTCTGTGGTGGCAGCCACAAACGGCACCAAACAGCTGACCTCCTCCACACCCACGCTCCCCATTTCCAATGCCATGCTGTGGTCAGCCTGGGGTCCGGGCCAGGGGAATAGGTAGCTGCTGAACATATGGTCAGAGTCCACCTTTCAGCATGGCCCAAGTCCTTCCAACCTCCATGGTCACAGCAGCATCCTGAACATCACCATCACATGCCAGACCCAGGCTACTGGCCTGGACTGTGACCCTGAGCAGGGCTCCCTTCATAACACAGTATGAGCACAGCGTGGTATGTATGGGTAGTGGTCTAAGTGCATAGAGACAGAGGTGAGTGGCTGCACTGTCTGACTGTGTCCGTGGCGGGTGCATTCAAACGCCCATGTGCTTGTGTGCCCATGTGTGGTGTGTGTGTACGCACCGTGCATCTATATGGCATGGGTGACCAGTGCGGCCTGGCTTTTTGTATCCCTGTTGAATATGTGCATGGCCAAACCAGCCAGGCAGGCCATACTTGAAAGTTTAAAGTGGGAGGGCTCTAAGGATAGTTGAACTCCTCAGGGAACAAGGTTGGGAGGTGGGAGAGAGTGGCTCCCCTGACCTCAGGCAGCAGAAGCCCCAACCAAGGGCACTTCACTTCCACCCTACCAGGTCCATTGATAAACTGAAGACCCTGTCCTTGTTCTGCACTCAACAGAGTGCAGGCCTTGCCCTCTTCCTTCCCCAACAGCTAAACTCTGGGAACCAACTTTCTCAGGTCTACTTACAGTCACTCCCAAGACAGAGAGCAGAAAGCCAGTAGGCTGGAATGAGGGAAGTAATCAGGGATGACTTCTAGAAAGGCATTTCCCAGGTTCCAGGTGGCTTCAGCTCTCTCATACATACCCAGAACCTGGCTCACTGGGGCTTTCAACACTCAGCAAGTAAATCACAAGACTCTTTGCCCCCTCTGTCTCATCCTTCTACACCTTCCCTCTCCCCGTCTTCTCCCTCCCTTCTCTCCTCCCCCCTCCCCCCCTCTTCCTCTCTATCTCTCTGACTAGAGATAGAACCCCAGGCCTTGCTCAAGCTAAGCACATGCTCACCACTGAGCTGTACCTCCAGCCCACAGGGCCATTTTCCTTACAATGGGGAGGGGGTGAAGGAGGAAAGCTGGCCCCAAAGGGAAGGACTGCTGGCTTCATGACAGGCCTCAGACTGCAGCCTTCCCTAGCACTCTTTGGAGACATTGCCCAATTCACCTCTAAAAAGGGATTTGGAGTCTCCATTTATACTCAAAGGGGCTAGGAAAATGGGGGAAAAACTGGGGTATGCAAGAGGTCTCAGATGTGCTGGGAAGCCCGGTTCTATTCCTAGCCCAGGGACCAACCCACTGTGGGGCCCAGGTGAACCTTCGTTTCCTTCTGTAACGGTGAGGGCAGTATGAGGCAGACAAAAGAGGCCACACCTCTACCCCCAACGCTTGGCTCATAAACCACTTTCTCTCCAACTGGCCAAAATGGTGCCACCATTTTTCCACTAAATACCCCAGTCCTCTGAGCTTCAAGGCGAAAGCCTTCCCTAGACTACAGTTGGGCTCCAGACAGAAAGCCCATTCTGGTAGGGCTAATAGCTGTCTCCTCAGAGGCCCCAGTGATCATGGAAAGTACCAAGTCAAGGCCTCTGCATGCCCCCTCAAGCCTCATGAAGTCACACGGGGAAGGGGAGGAGTCCAAGGAGGAAGGTCTCCCAGCACACTATCCATCTACCCAAGAGCTCTCAGTTCTACCCGGGGCTTCCAGCTCTCACTTGTCCTTGGTCCTAGCTGAGGCTGCTCCTGCTACTTGTCAACCACCAGGAGAAGTAGGCCTGCCGCCCCCGCCTGGGTTGATTCCCAGAAGACCTGCAGGAACTGGAGAAAACAGCTGAGTAGGGAGGCACCGCCAACCAAATAGGCTCTCCCCTCAGCCAGCCTCAGCATGGCAGAGACAGGCCTAGCCAGCCTCACCTGATTCCTAGACCTTGGGCCTCTTTGGTCTTGTTTTTCTCTCCTGTGAAATGGGGTGTTAGGCCCAAATTTTCTGTGTCCCCTCCATATTAGGGACCAGAATGCTGTGTCTCTGTCCTTGGAACATTTCCAACCTGACAGAGAGGTAGCCAGCAGACACAGTAAGGAGCTGTACCTAAGCCTCCCGAAGGACAAGCTGTCTTACAGGTTTTGGAATCCTAGGGTACAATCAAGTACCAGCACTTGATGGCCTGGGGCAATTTCTCTGTGCCAATTTTTTAAAGTGGCAGGGGAATACTAGTACCCTTCTCCCCAGGAAATTCTGAGGCTCTAAAATGTGCTGTGCCAGCTCCCCAGACTCATGTTGGAAGTAACAAATGAACTGTGATGCTTTTCAGCCTTTGTTTTTTACCCTATAGTTCACATGATTCTCACATTACTGTCGTGCCCATTATTCAGCTAAAAAAAAAAAAAAAAAAACCGAACAACAACAAACACAAAACCTTTGAGGCAGAGAAAGGGAGTAATGGCAGAGGGAGCAAGGTACCCAGGGTCTCTTGGTTGAAAAGCCTGGACTTTTTCTCTGCAGGCCAAGCCAGGCTTCTAACAAAAATTCCCCCCTCCGAGCTATGATCCCCTCCCTCAGCTACTCCTATGGGGCAAAGGCATCCTCAGGCTCTATCTTTTTGTCAGTACTTTATTTCTAACTTTAATTTAAAGTCCAATTAGCTGTCCCAGCTAAATGGTTTTAGTGCCCTGTAGTCATATCTCTGAATTAACCCCTACTCTCTCCCGTGGTGCTGTCACAGAGCCTGAGGACTGGCGGTTGGGGTGGGAGGGTAGTCATCTGGGCAGAAGAGGGCTGGATCCTGGGGGCTCTGTGAATACCTTCTCCTTGCCACAAGCACCTCGTAGAGGGGATGGGAAGGAACAGCAGATCTCACTGCAGGCAGGAAATGGGACCGGGGACATCTGAGCTTTCATTAGCTTCAGTTGCCAGGAGAAGGGGCACCACATGTGTATATGTGGGGGTGGTCACCAAACAAGGGTTAGCATTTTCTTCCTTCTCAGTATGCACCAAGGCTGTGCTGAAGGACCTCTAGTCTTTACAACTTTCTCCATTCTGCAAACAAGGAAACAGTCCCTGAGAGGACTTGCTTGGGACTCTTCCTGTTGACAGATATGACAACTATTTGAGGTTTTAATCATAACACTAAAAAGCCTATGTCAAGGGTGGTGGCACACACCTATAATCCTAGCAATCTGGAGGCTGAGGCAGGAGGATTACCATGATCTTGAGGTCAGCCTGAACTACATAACAAGACTCTATCATGATCTCTTTTTGGGGGGGTGGGCAGAGGGGTACTAGGAATTTAACCCAGGGTCTCCCATTTGCTAGGGAGGCACTGTGCCACTGAGCTATATCCCCAGCCCTCAAGACCCAATCTCAAAAAACCAAAAATTACAAAAAAAAAAAAAAAAATTTTTTTTTTAAAATAACCCTAAAAAGCCAAAGACTCTACTTCAGCATTCTTCATCTCTCCAGGAGTCCTAGCGGGCCATGCATAAGTAGCGTGTATAACCGCAACTTTACAATCTCCCACACACTCATACACACTGGGGCTCTCAGTCCTTGCTGGCACTGTCACCACACACCTTGTTACCCTCCCTTCCCCGCCACTAACACCCACACCCAGCCACTCTTGGTTCCCCACAATCACAGTCACTGCCCATGTACCTACACACTTGCAGTTTCACACAGTCACACAGTGAAGCTCCTTCCGTGTCACCTCCAGCACAGTCCTACCACACACTGGAGACCTCACAGCATTCTACAGCCAGGTACAGCTACCCAGACACCTTCACATCTCACACACATACACATACACTCACACACTGACACGCCACAAAGCTGCCCTCTGCTGGCTTGTCCACCACACCTCAGCCCTGTCCCCAGCAGGAATGAGGAAACTCAAGGGACCATCCCCCCTCCTTCTGAACCAAATTTTTTCTCTTTCTTTCTTGCTTTGTGTGTGTGTGTGTGTGTGTGTGTGTGTGTACCGGGGATCAAACTCACAATCTCTCACTCACAACCTCGCACTTGGTAGGCAGGCGCTTATGCCGCTGAGCTAAATCCCCAGTCACTTCTCTTTCACAGTTACACAAAAACACCCCCTCAGCCCGGTGGGCTGGAGATCCAATAGCAGTTCCTTCAATCTAATGTATTCATAGCCAGTTGGTCACCATGATATACCCAGAGTGCAACACAGGACTCTCCAGACACAAAGCAAGTAGTCTGGAGACAGCACACCAAAACATAGGACACACACACAACCTCAGAACACATAAGACATAGGCAAGCCACAGATGTGAGAGGACACAAGTCCCACTGTGAAAACACAAGAGACAGATACACAACATATCCACAACACCAGGAGACAGTCTGTGCGTACTGGGGATGGGCAAAGAGGACCTCCTGGGCTCACAGGAAATCCTCCTACCAAGTTTAACTGAGCTACTCAGGGGAGCTCTCACCTCACCTGCAGAGAGGGAGCTGGGGAAGTAGGAGAGGTAGTGATGGGTGTTCACCTCCTCGCCCTCCAGCGCCGGCCAGCAGGACGCCCCATTTCTGCCCCCTCCTTACTTGGGTTCCCAGGAGAGTGGCATCGCTGCTGGGGAGGGAGTGCTGGGACAGACAGCAGACCCGGCCGTCGGAGAGGGGGCTCGGAGGGGCGGGGCAGGAAGGGGGATGGGAGAGACTGGGGCCACGCCCAGCGCAGAGACACAGGGGGAGAGGAGCTGAGACTGAAAGGAGCTACAGCGAGGAGGAGGCGCCGCGCGGGTCGGCCCGGCCGGGACTCAGAGACTGGAGGCGAGGCGCGGCGGGAGGCCTGGCCTGGCCTGGGCCGGATGGTGGAAGAAGAGGGGCGGCCAGCGGAGCCCGCCCGCGGCTAGGGACGCCGGCCCAAGGGGGCGGCGGGCGCGGAGCGGAGACCCGTGGCAGACGGAACGGGTCCCGGGAGGGACGCACGGGCACTCCGAGGGGCAGCAGGGCCCGACGGCGGGCCCGGGGAGATTCGGGAGGCACGGACGGCCTTTCGGAGGGGCAGGAGCGCACGGGGGCGCCGGGGCCAGAAGCGGGCGGACTGGAGGGCTTCGCCCCCACCGTCCAACAGGGGACCGCGCGGCGGGACTTTTGCTGGCTGCAGCTCAGTTTCTCATTTTCGGAAACGGGAACCGAAGCGGGGAGGGGGAAGGGAGGGCGCTGCGCCCTCGAGGCAGCCTGATCCCGAGCCCGGCTCACTCACCTCCCGGCCAGGGCCGGGCGCCCAGGGGTCGCGGCGGCCGGGGTCTGGCTCCCCGCGCGGCTCCCCTCGCGCGCGAGCCGCGGTCGGCGTGGGCCTGTCCAGGACGGGCCAGCGGCCCGGACGTGCGGCCCGGGTCTCGGCGCAGCGGCAGAACTCGGGGGTCCGCAGGGGATCGGAGCTGCGGCCACCTCCCGCTCCCGCGCCGCAGCACACGGAAGTGCGAGGGGGCGGGGCGGGGCGGGGCGACCTCACCCAGGTGCCGATTGGCCCCGCCCCCGAGGCCCGGCCCCGCCCCGCAGCTGGGGTGGGGGATCCTGGAGTCTCGGTTGCCCTCTGCGCTGGTCACTAGGTCGCTTCTCTGTTCTGCTCTCTCCGGAACTGTTCCCACACACACCCTTACAAAGGAGCGCAAACCAGCCTTGGAGGGAACCCTGTTTTACAGAGTAGGACTCTGAGGCCGGGGTGGGGGTAGGGGTAGGGATGCATCCCCACCCTAGCGCCCTAGAGGCGCTGGCGGGGGTTCCCCGGCTCCTTACACCCACGCCTGGGACTCCCCACCGGCCAGCTGGCCGGCCTAGCCTGGTCTCACTCCCTCGCTTCCTGTTGGCTGGAGCGCAGACAGGGCCAGGCTCGCTGCCCGCCGCCACTCTTGCTGGTCCCTGCCCTGCCCAGTGACATAGCTGGCAATACTCCAGGGCTAGAAGCTCTAATTGAGCTGCTGCAGCACTGTTTCTCAAGCAGTCCAAATCCCAAGCACCAACTGGAATCTAAGTGGTGTATTGCCCTACCCCCTAAAGCTCAGAAAGCAAGGCCTTTCTACTTATCCAAAGAAATCACACTTGCCAGAAGACAAGAAGAAGGGTTCTAGATCCCTGGCCTCATGCGGGAGGCCTAAGGGATGGGAGAGGGGCAGAACCCCTGAGTTGACCTGAACTGAGCCAGACAGGCCATGACTTTGGTCTTCTCAAGCCACAGACAGTGGAAAGGTAGGTAACAGGCTCAAGGGGGCTCCTGTGGGGATGGATGGGACAGAGGGAGGAGCAGGAGGGAAGAGGAGAAACTGAAAGAGTCAAGATGGGGACCTCAGGGCCTGCCACATGGACAAAATGAGGGAAGTTGGCCAGACCAGGTAGGCTATGAGACCTCCAGAGATGAAAGCCCTAGCAGGGATGTGGATCCCCAAATCCTGTTTTAAGTGTATGTTGGGGATCTGGGCTGGAAAACAAAAACCACACTTAGTCTTCCCATTGCAGAGAAAAGGACTGTGGTGCCCCACACACTGGAAGAAAGGAGCTCTCAGTCTGAAAACTGATGTCTACGTTCTCAGGCCTGTTATCAGGCCTGTTCCCAGGCCTGAACTCCCATTTGTATAAGCATTTGACATCACACTGTGCTCCTCTGGGCACACTGGACTCCCCTCTGGAAATACACTTTTCTCTTCCTAGCCAGGCCTTTGACCATTCTATTTCATGGGCCATTTCCTACCCACTTCCACATCTCTCTCTGTCAAATGCCACTCCTTGTTGGTGTCTGGGAATAATCCACAGCATTTTTCTGAGCTAAGGGGACAGATTCATTTAGCTTCCCTGGGTTTGGGTGGAGGAAAGCATATACAAGATGAGGTTCAGGTGATCTCTACCCACTAGGGATCAGGTCTCTTTTTGGGCTCCTTCTCCAGGTCTACACTAGCCAACCCAGCATCTCCCTCAACAATAGGCCTGGCCTGTGCCAGGGACCTAACAGGGAAGGCTAGCCACTTGGGAGCTACAGGTCCAGCCACCTGTTCCCACACACTGCTTTCCACCTTGGAAAAAGAAAAGGAAGATAAATGGCTATCACTGCCAGAGGCTTCCCAATTAGAGTCAGTCCTAGGTGCCAGATGTATGCAGTCTGTATAGTCCTCAAGCCCCCGGGAGGTGAGGGATATTAGTGCCTTTCTTTTTTTTTTTTTTTTTTTTTTTTTTGTGATGAACAAGCTGAGACTAAAAGTGAAGGCACTTGCCTAAGAGTGCACACCTAGTAAATAACAGAGAGGAGGATTCAAACTAAGGTCTGCCTGTCTCTTAAACCCATGCATCAGAGATCTTCAGTCTCAGCACAACTGGTCTTTTGGGCAGATAATTCTCTGTTGTGGGGACTGCTCTGTGCACTGCACAATCCTTGGCCTCTACTACAAGTCAATAGCAATTCCCTTTCCCCTTGCAATTTAAGACAGACAAAAAATGTCTTTTAAATATTGGCAAATGTCCCACAAGGAAGAAAATTACCCCTTGAAAAACCACTGCTTTTAGAGTGGGTAAGTATTGTAGGAACAAGGTTAACATTTTCCTTGTCTTTAGGATTACATGGACTTATGAGGTCAGGGCCTTTGAGTGCACACTGGCGTCAGCCAGGCCTTCTCCTCCAGAGACTCCAAGGGAAGCCTGATGTACTCAGAGAGGCAGAGGGACTAAGGCTGTCCTGGCCAGCTCTGGTAAGGGCAGAAGAGGGATGTGTATGGGTTTTGCTCCAGAAATGCACCCTGGGTCCTAGGGCCCCTGAGGAATAGGTTTGTGTAGGATTCAGGGGCCAAATCCTAGCCTAACTGCAGTTGTCACATCCTAGAGCTAACTGGGTACCATGAGCTGGCCTCTGTGCCTCCATAACCAACCTAATCCAGGACCTGCTGAAGGCCAGGAGCAAACTTTGTGTCACATGCTAATTGTATGGGCCTGAGCAAATGACCACATCTCTTTCAGTCTGAGTGCTCCCCTACAAAAGCAGATGAATAAAGGTTACATGAGGTGATATATTTAGAGTCTCAGCCAGAGTAGACACCTGGTGGGTACTTGTCTACATTGGCCAGGGTTCCAGGTATAGTTGTTGTGCCAGGTCATAGGCTTTGAGCCTTGAAAAAGCCCTGGGGATATAGCTCAACAGCACAGCACCTGCCTGACAAGTACAAGGTCCTGAGTTTAATTCCTGATACAAAAAAAAAAAAAAAAAAAAAAAGTCCTTGATGGCCTCTTATGACATGGAGTATGAATCCTCAGACAGGTTGAGCTCCTAGCTTCCCAGAAGCAACACTTTGTTTTCCTGGTAGTTCAAGTTTACAGCCAGGGAAACAGGAGATAGAAACAGCCAGCTTCTACCCAAGGTTGTTCCTCTACAGATTTCCTGGAGAATTTGTCCAGAGGAGAATAAATTGACCCTTGTTTCAGCCAAAAGCCAAATATGGTAGGGGTCTGAAACACTCCACTGGAAATCCAGGGCTCAACAGCAACCTGGAAAAGGCCTGGGCCACCATCTGCCCCAGAGGCCAACCAAGCTGAAGGCAAGACAAGGTCCCCCATTTAATCTCTGCTAACAGTTGGTGCTTGTCCTGGACACTCTGCCTCTTGCTTTGTCTGTTTCCACCTCTCTGTCACCATTTTTTTTTTTAATTGGCTCATGGCTAACACCATTCTTATCTCCTCCAGAGCTTTGGCTATCAGGATCAACTCCATCAGACCCAGAGCCCTAGCCTGGTCACAGGAGAGTGGGCTCTCGTTTCCAGTGTAGGAGATGCAGGTCAGCATAGCTGGTGCACCTGGGCAGCCCCTGGAAACAGCAGAGCCTGGCAGATCTTGCTGGAGGCTGTATGGGAGGAGGCCCATGCCACAGAGCACTGGTACAGCAGTTCCAGCCTGGAGCACCAAGGGAGGGGCAGGTAGCAACAGGATCAGAAAGAAGTGGCCTTGTAGGCAGTGCCACATGGCAGGGCAGAGCCAGGCCAGGGGGCTGAAGGGACCAGGTACTGCCTGGCTCTGCCCGACGTGTGACTTTACTGTACCTGGGCTTCCTCTTCTGTGGCACATAGCTGGAACTAAAAACCACTTGGTTGCTGAGGACAGACAGCACTAGCTGAGATGCTTCATGTTGGTGCCATCTGACAAGAAGTTGGCCAGGCTGACCTAGTCCTCTCCAGCTCTCTCAACAAATTGTTATAGAGTAAAATTTGAGAAATACCTACGGAGAGAGAAGGGAAGGTGCTTCCAAGGAAAAGGGCAGGGCACCATCTTTCCTGGAGGTCTCATGGGCAGGTATGCAGCCCTAAATTGCCCTAGCCCCGCACAGCGCCTGGCACCCTCAATCTCTTTTAGAGGCTCCTCTGTCCCCATATCTAGAGGGTTCAATGTCACCTGTGCCGTACACACTCTTCCCTCCCTTCTCACCCATATTTCTGCCTCCTTGCAGCGATGCAATGTAAACCCCTTCATAGGGACCGCCTGAGACCCCGCCCTCGGGATGTCTTTCTGGGTGGGGGTGGAGGCCACGTGATGCAGGCCAAGCTATAAATATGTGGGTCTGTGCCGGTTGGGCAGACACCTGGCAGCTGGAGAGGTGCTGCTCAGTCATCCTGGAGCGTTCTTGCCCTCCTTGTGCTTCCAGGTTACTGTCTTGGTCCAGCAAAGTCAGGGAAGACTTGAGCATGCCCATTTCATGCATGCACTACCGAGGTCCTGGCTATGAGAGTCATCCATGGCACTGCAGCCTGCTCGCCAGCTGGGAAACTGAGAAGACTGGGAAGACGGGGCTGGATGTGGAATGAGAGATAGGCAATAAACCTAGAAAAGACACATTGATTGTTATGATAAGAACTATAATATTTGTTAAATAAGGAAGATAGTGGAAAGAAGGGTTTACAGAAGACATTGGAAATCCCCCAGAAATGCAAAGATTATTTCATCTCCCCGGATAGACCTACCTTCCCCATTCTCACTACATGTTAGAAATTGTTCTTGCAGCACAGTCAGGCAGACTTTCTGAAGGAGGTGGCTATGGAGCCCACAGAGACTGAGCAGAGCAGCTTGGAGCCCAGGACCACTTAATCCTTGCGTTTGGAACTGGGAAGGGGAGATCCAAGGTCCCTGACACAGACTTTGCCCAGTCTGCCAACATCTCTTGGCAGGGCTGTGCGCAGGGGCAGTGGGCTGTGCCAGAGAAGTGGTAGGGCCAGTTAAACCAGCAGAACCTGAGTGCAGTACCATGCAGCCAGCCACCTCGCCCCAAGTCCTCCGAGATGTGAGAGGTCCAGGGCCACAAGGACATTTGTGCTAAGCCACCCTGCCGGCTGCCTGCTGCCATCAAGGCTTGCCCTTTGCTCAAGCTGTTCTTTGCCCCTGAAATGCCTTTCATCAAACTCTTAGCACCTAAACTCACCAAACAAATTCCTGCAGGGAACCTGTGCTTCCCAGGAGCTCCAGCTCCCACTGTGCAGGGTTCTCTAAAGTATGACTTGCAGATAGTGCCTCAGACTGAGAACAGCTAGCATGCAGCCTCTATGCTGACTGGAATGTGCCTGAAGCAAGTGCCAACTGCCTGTGCCTCAGCTTCCCCACCTGTAAAATCCCTACCCCCTGGGTTGCCCTAAGGCTAGAGGAACATGCTGGGCACATAGGACACTAGTCTCCATTCTCTCCTGACAGCGAGCTCCACTAATGGTTAGCAGCTTTGGCAGGCAGAGGCAGAGGTTGCCAGGGAAGGACTCTCCTCAAGGAGGAAGTTTGCCCTCAGGGTGCTGCCCACATCACCACCTTCACATGTCTGGGCTCTGCCTCTGCCCACATGCTTCTGTGGGCACAGGCTATGGCTACTGTGGCCATGGTGCCTAGGCAAATGGCCAGAGTGCTGGGCTGGCCAAAAAGGAGAAATGGTTTGCCTTAGGGCCAGAAATACAGCCAGTTCCCAGGCCAGCCCCTCTGGGCCTGTAGGTGCAAGGCAATCAGCCAGGAAAGTATGGGGTAGGGAGGAGGCTATAATATCTGCATAAGGGTTAGAACTTGGATCAAAGGCTTGGGGCTCAGGTGGGCCCATGTAGAGTTGGGTCTTAGCCAACTTGTGACATCCTGCCATGGAAGCTTCCCCAGAATGGGCTCTGGAACTGAGGCCCTGGCTGCAGGTACCAGACCAAAGATCACAGGAGTCTTCAGGCACAGAGGAAATCTAAGATCTGTTTTGGGACATTGTGAAAAAGGTAAACTAGCCTTTTAACTTGTCCTCAGGTTTCAGATCAAGCATGCCTGAGGAGTTCATGCTGATGTCTGCCTTAGCTCCCTGATGGTGACAGATGGCCCTGCTGGTCTCTCATCTGAGTACAAGATGGCCACCCTGTGTGTGGGTTGCTCCTTTCTCTGGGACGCAACTCTGGAGGCTGTGAGAGTGAGGAGGGAACCTAAAGGCAGCATCTATGGGTTTGAGCTGTGGGCTGTAGCAGTTGCAATGGAAGGGTGCTACAAAGCCTGACTTTAGGTTCCTGAGGGTGCAGCAAGGTACCAGCTGGAGTGTACGCCTGACAGGGTGGCAGGTACTTGCAAGGCAGAGAGCAGCAGAAGTGATCTGTCATTCCAGTTCCTGAAGCCCCCACCTTTCATACCACTCACACCAAGCCACTAAAATCCAGAAGAGGAGGCCGCAAGGAAGCTTCCCCTGGGGCTATCAAGAAGGCAGACAGCTGTCCAGCCACCGCCAGGGAGAGGGGGAGGGCTGAGTGAGGTTCACCGCTTAGCTGCAGCACAAAGGAAGTCTAAGGAAACCTTACCTCGGGGCTGGGGATTTAGCTCAGCGACATAAGTGCCTGCCCTGCAAGTAGGCAGTCATGAGTTCGATCCCTGGTACAGATAAAAACGAAAAAGACAAAAAAAAAAAAAAAAAAAAAAAGAAACCTTACCTCAGGTAGAAGTCTTCCTCTGAGACAGGTAGGTTGTTCCAGTCCCAGGCTGGTTCCCGAAAGCCCTTCCTGGGCAGCCTCTGCCCCAGCCCATGTTCAACCTCACCCCCTACAGTGGTCCCTGCCTCAGTCAGGCTCCAGCTCATTGTGAAAGCTTGTATGGATCTCTGTCGCCTTGCTGCCTTGCCCTCCTCACCCTGAGTTTTCCATTCATTCATTTGACTCCATTGCTGCCCTGCTGGCCTCAGCTGCCAGAGTCTCTTGTCTGACCCTATACAGCTCCCTCCAGGCAGCATACCACTTCCCCACTCCTTACAGTTCTTTATTGTCAGGTCTGCCATGCTATCCTCAAGTGTCAAAAACTGCTCCCTCCCCAACCTTGAGGCTGACCATGAATCTCTCAGGATAAAGGCCAGAGGCTGGTAGTGGCACCAGCCCTGGCCTTCCCTCCCCTGCCAGCCTCTGAGCTCCATCTAGAGGAGCTCCCTGCAGTCCCTGGAAGATGGTACTCTGCAGTGCTTTCCCTCTGGGGCTTTGAGACTGATTGATACATCATGCCTAGATAATATCTCCCTTGTCTTCTAGTGAGTCCTAGCTTATCCAAGAAGGTATGCCCTCCATCCCACCGACAGTCCAAGGGCTCCTCACTTCCTCTGCCTCCTCACCTGTCCCTGTCCAGCCATAAGGCTCCAGCCTAATGCTCTACCTCAGCCTAGGTCTCTGAGGAATCAAGAACACTGAGGACCAGGAAGAAGTGAGGACAGAGGATGACCCGGGGATCTTGGGATGCTTTCGACAGCTCTTCCTGCTCTGAATGTCTTGCTGGGAACTGGTACCACTGACAGTCCCCTAAGTTGCCTCACCTTGGGTTTCCTGGACTGTCAGCTCTTCCTCTGTCTGGGCCCCTGACTATGTCCATCTCTGAAGGAAACTTAGCAGTTGAGGGATAGGCCCTGCTCCCTGGGCCTTGTCTGATGGGGGTCCAGGTGGATGTTGGTTGAAGCTTCTAGGAGAAGGGCCAACCAGTGACACTCCTGTTGAATTGGGGAGAACCTGAAGACATTTAATGAGTGTGTGTGTTGGGGAAGTAGGTTGTGGCAGAATCGAGGACCCATGTGGACATGCAAGCAGAGATGCCAGGCAAGGGATCACCAGGCTGGACTTTGCCCTGCCATGCTCTGACTTGCTGCAGGATCCTGGGAGGTCCCTGTCCCACTAGGCCTCCATGGCTCTGCTACACAAGGGAAGTGAGTAACAACAGATAGTAGATTATCACAAGGATGATCCTGGCTGCCCCTAGGGACAGGCTGAGCAGTTAAGAACAGCCTTGAGTTTGATGCTCTAGGCAACCTGTAAAATAAGAGCAGCCTCCATTTATAAATGAGGCTCACAGAGGTGAACTCAAGGCTCTCTGCAGTTCAGGTGCCAGGGCTAGGCCCTCAGTCTGTGAGAGGCTACACTTCCAGGCTTTCAGAAAGAATGCCTTGTGGCTTCAGAGTCAGGCGGCGCCTAGGCTGTAGACCTTCTTCCTGGCTCAGCCCTCACCAGCTGTGTGACCTCAGACAGGAAGCTCAGCTTCCCTGAAAGATGATGAGAGGATAAAGAGTGGTCATGAGGACTAAATGAGAGAATGAGGAGAAAGAAGGTTACTGCCTTGTCATGCCACAGCTACCTCTTTCCAGTCGACATCCGAGGGTCTGATAGGAGTGTTAACAGGAGTGGGGCATTCAGGAGGTGCAGAGGTCAGCTACTATGGCTCCTCTTGCCCCACTCTTACCCTTTGGTTGGGAGCTTCTCCCAGGCACCATGGAGAAGAGAGCCACCTAATTGCTACCTAATTGCCTGTACCCAGGGTAGAGCCATTATTCCCACCTACCCCATAGATGAGGAAATTGATGTTTAGTTGAATTCCTGCCAAAGCCACAATGGTTGTTTCAGGGGACTTAGGCAGGAGTCCAGGTTCTGGATGTGTCTGCAGGTTTTATACAGTGGCCCCAGTCCTTTCTTCGGATAAAAGATGGATGCCATGGTTGGGGCCAGGTCCGCAGGATAATAATCTGTTCTGGGGCAAAACCAGGACAGCTATGCAGGAAACTTGAACAGGAGCCAACATTCTGCTAGAGTGATGGTGGAGCAGGAGGTAGCAGTCTGGACTTTGGCCCATGCCCCTGCTAAAGTAGAGGATGGGGTTCAGTGAGAGTCAGGAGGTCAGGTACCTATTGTCCTCCACCCCTGTGGATCCTGAACTGGAGCCTCCCTCTTGCTATATTCCTGTTTGAGTGCCCTCCGGGGCCCCTTCTTCCCTTCTTCATGGCTTCAGGCTTCACAGCCCACAGGCATTTCAGGCCCCATAGCCTGAACTTCCTGGATTAGAATGTACTAGCGAAAGTGCCTGTCTTCACAGGTTGTGTCAAAGGGCAATGGCCAAGGGGTCTCCTTGGGCTTGGGAAGGGGGTAGGCAATTGGTCTTCTTACAGGGAGCACCACTACTCAGCAATATGACTGTAGGTAAGTCACCTTCCCTCTCTGGCTTCCACTTCCTTATCTGTTAGTAAGGATATTTGTTGTAGGATCCTTGGAGATCAGACAAAAGGAAGGTCTAGCACAGTGCCTGGAACAAGTCACTGTTCCATAGGTTGCTGGTAGTTCTGTTGTGATTTTGTATACTTTTGATATTATCAGGTGTGTTTTGAAGTGGGACAGGAATGCTTACACGGCCTGACGCCTCTGAGTAAAAGCTAAGGCTCTTAGCAGCTTCATGCAAATTGTGTCATCTAATTCCTCATCTGGACATACAGAATGAGGAGGCAAAGGCCCCAAAAGACAGAGTGACTTACAGCCATAGACTCCAATAGAGCCAATAATAGAATATAATTCATTGTTTTTTCCTTCCTATGCTAGAGCTGACAGAGTGAGGTAGGCTTAATGAAAAAGCTGCCCTTGGAGCTGGGCCAGGAAGAATCCGAAGGAATCCTTAGTGGGTGGTGTTGGGAAGGCTTGAGAAGGCATTGTATCCAGAATGGGCAGAGGCACCAGGGGAGCAAAGCTCCTGGGTGCATCCATGGCTGATTCTAGGGGACAGGGAGGCAGCCCAAAAGGCCTAGCTAGTGGTAGCATGTACCCATGGGGCCAGCTGAGGGACTGCAGTGGAGTGGTCTTGGATGCCATACAAAGGCCTGGGTGTATGCTGAAGGTAATGAGAAAGAAGCCACAGAGGAGGGGTTTTCCCAGGCAGAAACTGAAAGGGTGGAGATTTAGAGGAAGGACAGCTAGAGAGAGCAAGTAGGAAGGTATGAGTACACTGGGCACTTTAAAGAATGAACAGTGAGGGGCTGGGGATTTAGCTCAGCGGCATAAGCGCCTGCCTTGCAAGCAGGCGGTCATGAGTTTGATCCCCAGTACCGATAAAAAAAAAAAAAAAAAAAGAATGAACAGTGAGTGAAAAATGAACAGTGATAACATAGCTTTTGTTATTCATGTCAATGCTTCCTGGATCTCATGGCCCAACAGGGTGAGGTCCAGAACACCCTGCTTTACAGGTCATAGTGCCCATCCCAACGTAGGGTTGGAAATTCAGAGCCCAGCCCCACTACCTGCCCACATGCCCAGCTTCCCTGTCTCAAAGAAGTGCCTGAGACCCATTATAGCCTGCTCTAGGAGCACAGAATCGACCCATATGAGAGGACACAGATGGGTGTGAATCCCAGGAGTTTTCTCCACAGCCTTTGCCCTTGTGATCTTTGCTCAGTGAGCTCTTAATGATGGGCTGCTGGGATTCTGATCATCAGACCTAGGGGTGACTCACAGATGTGGGCATAAATATGTCCAAGGAGTTCCTCAGTCACTACAACAACTCTTTCTTTCCTTCACTGCCGATTCTGAAATTCTTAAAACTATGCGCACAGGTCTGTGGGCTCTCAGAGGTCATCATTCTGGCACTTGGGCTTGGCTTAGAGCCTTTCTATCTTTGTTGTCTCCTTAGCTACAGGGTCACTCCTTGGTGTCAGCACACTTTCTCCTAATTACTGTCCATTGCTACCACACTCACGTGGCCACCACACTGTGTGAGCCAGGTATGTAGTAGGTGCTCAATACAGTGGTGTCACTGTGTGCAGAGATGGCACTCAGCAACACTTGTCAACCACATGTTTATTGGCTTCCTTGGCACTCTGGGCCTCTGTCTAGCAAAAGTTAGGGAGGGTAGGCTCCACAAAAACCAAGCTGGGGCTGAGCTGGATTTCAGAGGCTCTCTGCACTCAGGTGTGGTGGCAGACCCAACCTGGAAGCTCCCCTGGCATCCAGAAACACCAGGGTTCTGTCTGGGGGTTTGATGCCACTGGCAGGAATATACAGAAGAGAATAGGGAGCCACAGCCCATGATTCAGCAGCCTGCCTGTACTATCACCCCTGAATGTCCATAAATATTCATTGTGTTCTTGCCCCCATCTGGAATCCGACCTCTGGTGTTCCTGCCTCTCTTATTGCTTCAGGATGGAAGTTTGGAGTTGGAAGTCTCTGTCTCTGCCTTCATTGGCACACACTGGCCATCATGGATGGGTAAGTGACCTAGGGTCTGTACATGCATATGTTCTTGTTGAGGGTCCAGTGTTAGAGGACAAGAGAAGGGCTAGGTGCAAGCAAGCAAGAGTGAGTGGCCTCCAGAGACAGGCAGGGAGGGCTCAGAGCTTCCCTTGCACCATACACCTTTAGTGAAAGTTTGGCCAGTCTCTTTCTGTGTAAGACCAAGTTCCGTGTGCCTAAGATGAGGAGGGGAGAGCTTAGAAGGACAAGGATAAAGAGCCCACTATGTCTCCTCTCGCTCAACTTACTGCTCCATGCTGTGTCTCACAGACCCTACATGCTGCTCACTAACTCTCCTAGCACCTCCATGTTCCCTAGAGATGCTTCTGCCCTTGGGACCTAGGGGAAGAGGAGTTCATGCAGGCATGGAATCTTGAACCCTGGGCCCAGAGGTCAACCTCCTTAGAAGGACCTCCTCCCCAAAGAAATCAACCTTTCTCTCCTTCTGGTAGCAGCCCGCTGTCGTGAGGTTGCCCAAGGGCACTGTCTGGGAATCAAAATAAAACCTGAAAATTGCTCCTCTTGCCTAGTTTTTCGGAGCTCTGCTGAAAAGTAATTATAGGTGGCCTGGGATGGCTAGCTCTGCACTTAGCCCTGAGTTCAGTGGGCTTCAGTGGGCCCACAGGGCTGCAGGGAGTTGTAGGGGGGCTGCCCTCCCACTCTTTTTCTATCTCAGGCTTTCAGGATCAGAGCACCCCAAGCCCCCAGCCTTGGAGCCCTCCACTGGCCTATAGGCCTATTGATCTCTGTAGTGGACCCCTGGGTGGAAGCCAGATGCCGGAGAGGGAGTGGAGAGTGTGTTTGGTCTCAGATTAGAATACACTAGTAAGAATGGTCATCCCAGCTCGCACATGTCAGGTGCTTACTCCCTACCAGACCCTGAGCCAATACTTTACATTGAATTGACAACTGTTAACTCATAAGCTACCTGCAAAACTTCTACATTGTAAGGACCATCATTAGTCCTGCTCTTCAGGAGGGAAAACTTGATTTAGGCTCTCTGGGGAAATGACATGCCTGTGGTCACACAGCTGGGAAGTGGGCAAAGTGGGCCTCTCTCAGTTTTAGGCCACAGTTTACAACCACTAGGCCAGCTTGTCACTAAAGCAACAGGAGTAAGTGTGAGCTGGTAACTGGCTAGGGTGGAGTGAGACAAGCGAGTGGTGCGTGGAAGTGTCTGCAGCTGGTAGGACAGGGTTTCCCTTCTGCACTGTACAGACCTGCCGTGTGGGAGAGTATGTGGGTGTCTGGGGGAGATGACAGATGGGGAAGACAAAGGTAGGCACAGACAGCATGGCTCTCTCTTGTCTCTGCCACCTCCCCCGGAGCCTGCTCAGGTCTTCTCATCCCATAGGGAACTTCCTGCCTGTCTCTCCCTGCCTGCTCTGGCCCCTAGAAAGCTCTCCCCTCACATCTTAGGCAGTTATATGACGGCAGACCTCCATCCAGTACCCCACTGTACCCCTTAAATTCTGCTGGACCCAGTAAGGATGTCTGAGTCTTCTAGGCATAGAATTGAGCCCTGCTTCCTGCAGCACCAGGATACTCTGCCTAGGCCTTTGCCAAGATAAATCTCTGGAATTTGCCTTGGAAATCTCCTGGTCTCTGCCGACTAGTGAGAGCCAAGCTGTGATTTCCATTGTCCCTGGGCTCAAGGTCTCAGTCCACACTGCCAGGAAGTTCTTATGGGAATCTTTCTGACTTCTCTTTTGCTGTCTCATATTTTCTCTCATTCTTTTCTCATTGACTCCCTTGCTGATTCTTCCAGATGCAATAGTAAAAATGCCATAGGTTTATATTTCTCATCTTTACAGTAAATGGTAACTCCAGATGACCCCTGCACTGATCTTGTTACTAATCAAAAATGAATTCCCAGACCTCTGCTGAGCCCCTACTCTGTGCTGAAGGCTGAGAAGTGCAGGGAGGAGTAGAAAGTTTCTGGGTGGGGCATCTGTGCTCACCCTGCTCTTAAGGCAGAATTGCTAATTGATCGCATTGATTGTGCAGCACATCTTGCCAAGCCTGGAAGGATACAGCCAGAATCCTTCTCAACACAGCTCCAGGGAGCCATTGACAACCCCTGGAATTGACAGATCCATCAAAACTCATTTGTCTTCCCT